GCGGAAGGATCACCTGAGCCCAGCAGGTCAAGGCTGCGGTGGCCGGGAGCGTGCCACTGCACTCCAGTCTGGGCGACAGAGTGAGACTCCAACTCAAAAAAAAAAAAAAAATTAACAAGCTGTGCGAAAATCTGTACGTGCTGACAAAGGCTGTGTCTCGATCAAGCTAAGCATCATCCTATTAACAACAGTTTGATTATGCTGGGGATCAGTGAATCAAGATTATCAATTAACTGAAGATTTTTGCCAAAACAGTATATCTACATTGAATCTCTAGTTCAGAGTAGATACAATCGGAATCTTTAAAACAAGAGCAGGTATTTCTTGGATGTAGGGAGGAATTATAGATGGTGTCTGAGACACTGATTGCATACAAGGGAAAGAGAAGAAATAAGAATTGAAATTGTCCAGACAATTCAAGCAGACCACAAATTTGGCTATTTAATTGTCAGGTAATTAATGTAAAAGTGACCGGTTTGTGTTGGCCAGACATACATAGTTACCTCGGTCCTCCTTGTATCTTTTCTTAGGTAAACATGAGTTTGTTTTTACTTTAATAAACTTAGAGGAGTCAGTAACTCAATCAGGCTGTTTTTTGAAGAGAATACCTAGGCAGGTAACCAAGCAATGTCATTGTTTCCTTCTGTAAGCTCCATTACTCTCTCTTTCTCTGTCTTTCTGAACTCAGGAAACAGATTCATCTTTGTTCAGTAAATAGATTGAGCAGAAAGTAGAAGCAGGAAAATTGTAACTCGCCTATCCCTTTGCAGCCACTGCTGCTGCTGCCTCTTCTATTTCTGTCTACCCTTTCAGGTGGAAAAGGCACTGGAGTACATAAATCACCTCCAGCCAAATTGCCTAGATAGCTTTGGTAGTAAGTGTGGCTACTGTTGTTCTCAGGGCAAAGGGTCCAGAAAGAAGCCCCAGCAATAGGGAAGTCAGCAAAACTTATCAAGATATTATCTTTCCTCTTCCTGCCCTCCCTTGTGTCTTGACACACCAGCTCAGCCTTCATTGTTAGAAATGATAATAAAGGCACCCCAACACCTCCAAATATGTCTGCTTGCCGACAGGGGGAGCCATATCCAACATGTACAGCATCATGGCTGCCCGCTACAAGTACTTCCCAGAAGTTAAGACGAAGGGCATGGCGGCTGTGCCCAAACTGGTCCTCTTCACCTCAGAACATGTGAGTTAGGGGTACTTGCTCGTGGATTATGGTATTTTCCAAGGGACTATCCAACTTCTAACCTCAAGCCTCTGTTTGCTGCAGAGTCACTATTCCATAAAGAAAGCTGGGGCTGCACTTGGCTTTGGAACTGAGAATGTGATTTTGATAAAGTGCAATGAAAGGTAGGTAGGGGAGAGTGAATATTAGGTTCTTGATGTATTAAATGTGTTCATCTGTTAAATTTGTTTTATTGTGCTTAAGGACTGGCTCAGTGCAATGTGCCAAGCTGCTAATGGTCTGTTGAAAATATCCCATTAAATTACTTTTTGCTGCTGCTTAAGTTTTTTTTTTTCATGTGTAATCTCATTGATTCTTCATTTTAATTTCTCTCCTTTTACAATAATTATAGGGGGAAGATAATTCCAGCTGATTTTGAGGCAAAAATTCTTGAAGCCAAGCAGAAGGTACGTACTCTATGGTGCATCTAAACTCCAATGAATGCAATTTTTAAAAAAATACCTTCATTCTGCCCTAGGCAATGAAAGTCTTTGATAATATAAGATAATTTTATTGTATTTCTAAAATTCTTTTCTCAGATAGTTGCTTATTCCCAACTTGTGAAATGATATGGTTTTTAAGTTGCATCTATACAATGTCAAATTTTTTAACTGAAAAATTTAGTCATTGTTAATGTCCTATTTTCATTATGCCAAATGATTGTTTGGTGTTGTTCAATAAATCAATTACCTGAGCATCATGAAGACACAGCCTAATTTAACTTTTCATTTGCTACTTGTTAGGTATTATCTCATTTTAACAAATGCCATTTTAGCTTAGGATTCTGTTTAGCAAAGTGCTTTCATGCCCTGGCAGATGGCCCATGGTACTTGGCAAATCCAGCCTCAGCAAACTCTATTAAGCAAAAAACTCACAGAACAGATGTATCCACAAGTCATTGCCAGATAGCTGTCAGATCATTTACCAACGCATTGTTGTTTTGGGCACATTCTTGTACCTCCTAATTTACTTTGTTTGTTTTTGAGTTGGGGTCTCACTCTTTTGTCCAGGCTGGAGTGCTGTGGCATGATCGCGGCTCCCTGCAGCCTCCACCTCCTGGGATCAGACAATCCTTCTGCCTCAGCATCTCAAATAGCTAGGACTACAGGTGCTCACCACCATGCCTGACTACTTTTAAAAATTTTTTGTAGAGACGAGGTCTCTCTGCATTGCCTAGGCTGGTCTCAAACTCCTGGGTTTAAGCAGTCTTACCACCTCCCAAAGTGTTGGAATTACAGGCATGAGCCACCGAGCCCAGCCTTGTACCTCTTTCTTTAGTTGTAGTTGTTTACTGAGTCTCAACAGAAGAGATGGGTGTAGAAGTTGCTAGGTCTGAGCCAGCAGCAGAGGTGGAGCTCAGCTTCCCAAAAGCTTAAGACTCAGTTTTCCCCAGATCTGTCTTAGCTCTGTTACGCCACTCCCTTATTTATTTCTTGTTTATGTCAAAATTTCATCATATTTCCACTATTAATAAGCATTTCAACTTTTACAGTGTGTCGATCTGTTTTAAAAAGCCAGACCATGGCTTAGTATAATTATTATATCAATACACTTAAAAGAACACAGCACCTAAAGAGAATAATATCCAGATAAAATTCAGAACTCCCTGCCCATCACTACAAACACTTATTATTACTCTTTCCTGCTTTTTTTTTTTTTTTTTTTGCCATGGAACTCATCACTTTAAAACATATGTATGTTTTGCTTATTTAGTTTAACTTATTGTCTGTCACACCCCCACTAGAATGTAAACTCCACGATGGCAGAATTCTTCATCTGTTGTGCTCACTGCTGGTGTCCCCAATGTCGACAATAGGGCCTGGCCACAAAAATCATTCAGAAAAGATTTGTTGAATAAATGAATGAATGGAGTGATTGAGCCAAGAAAGAACACAGTCAGAGTACCTGATATCACACCAGCCTAGCTGATCACTGTTAGAAATAAATGCTACTGCAATTCGTCTACTTAATTAGGAAATGAGAAAAGTTAAAAAGACTAATCAGCCCGTCTCTCTTCCCTTGTAGGGGTACGTTCCCTTTTATGTCAATGCAACTGCTGGCACGACTGTTTATGGAGCTTTTGATCCGATACAGGAGATTGCAGATATATGTGAGAAATATAACCTTTGGCTGCATGTCGATGTAAGTGCTATAACTCACAGAGCAGCTAGTCCATTCGGGGGGTGGGGGGGTGGAGGCAGCTCTGCTTTATGATTTACCTCAAGCTTCTTCCCACACCCCAGCCAGCCCTCTTTCCACTCCACATTAGTCCCAGCTGTCATATCACAGGCCTAAAACATCCTCTGGAATTTCTCCGGTCCTTCACGGGCCCATTGCTGTCTTCTATGGTTCATCCTGGAATATGGTCTCCATCGCCCTACCATGTAGCTTTTGTGGACAAATGGCTACTGAGTAAAATACTTGGTTTCAGAGAAGAAAAAAAAAAAATACACCATATAGAAAGTGGCCATGAAATGTGAACCCTCAGCTACCTGCCTTCAGTCCAGCCATCTATGACACTTTTCTTAGCTACATGTGTATCTACTACATTTGGGGGAAAATAGAGGCAGTATATGGAAGTCATTATCAATTAAGATATTTAGTCCTGAATTTTCCCAAGAGCACAAAAGGTATGTTTTCACATTTGTGACCAGGTGTATTATTTTCTTTCTGTCTGTCCATTCTCTTATGGATTTAACTTCTCACTGCTGGACAGTGGGGTAATCTGACTGGCAGAAGCTGTTGTGCCATGTGGCATCCCAAGCTATTCAGTCAAGTGCATCATGGAACCCACAAAAACGTCTTGCTATTGCAGGAGCAGTTGTGAGACTTCCAAACCCGGCAGGAAGTGCTGCTTTCTGAGTTTTTCAGGAGCTGTTAGAATTCTTCCCCAGAAAGAATCAGACAGCAGGCTCCAATCCTTTGAGTAGCTTCCAGAATCACCCTGGGAAGGCTCACCGAGTATCTCTGTCATTCCACAGTTCTCTGGGCCTTTGGGTCTTGGTATCACAGGCACCACAGGCTCAGACTCAGCTTACTTGTATCACTTGTGCAGCTACTCCGACATGAACTTGGAGGATCTATTGAAAAAGAAATGACAAGCAATGAAAAAAATCACAACTGCCAATGGTTGAACAATCAGTGAGGGCCCATTTTATTAGAGAAGCTTTTGTTTTTTTACCTTGTACATTCTCCTGTTTTGCTAGATGTGCGGAGTGACTGGTTTTGCATTCTTAAATGTCACTGCTCCCCTCTCCCTCTGCTTTATCTGTTCTCACAGGCTGCCTGGGGTGGTGGGCTGCTCATGTCCAGGAAGCACCGCCACAAGCTCAATGGCATAGAAAGGTATGGGCCAGAGCTCACAGGCCTCCTTCCTTCCAGAACATCAAACATACTATGCTCTGACGTCAGCCTGCACCACCCCTGCCCTGATTCCCAGCATCTTATTTCAATCTGACTAAGCTCCATGTAGTTTAGCAAGCATTTATTGAGCACTTTTTGTATGTCAAATGAGCCCTCAATGAATTTGCAATCTAGAAAGAGAAATAGACAAGTATATAAGCAGTTACAAGAAATATGGGCAATTGTTCTATGGTTCTCCCTGTGTACATGTTAATTTTAAAAAAGACAATGTGATAAGCATAATAGGAGATGAAATTGCAGGTGCCCAGGTAGGAGAGGCAAGAGACTAACTAGGGAGGGGTTTGGAGGCTAAGTCAGAGTTTGCCAAGGACACAGGAAGGGTCACTGCTTCACTTCACTCTTTTTCCTCATGAAGCTTACTGTGGGAAAAGACAATCAGCTCACCTAACTTAGTTTCTTCCTCACCATTCACCTTCAGTGGTCATTCTAAGCCAAATATGATTTTGACCTGACTCCTAAGTGTTGATCCATAGTGAACTCTCATTGGTTCATTCAGCGTGTATTTACTGAGCACCTGCCATGAGTCAGGCAGGTGTGAATGTGGAATATTTTGTTACCTGCCTCCCATCCAGCCATCTATAGTGCCTTTCTAAAAAAATGCATATCTAAAAAAAATTGTTTTTTAAACCAAAACGCATACCTGATACATGTGGGGAAAATAAGGCAGGGTATGGACGATATTATCAATTACGAGTTTTGCCCTCCTAAAGCTTACATTCCAGTGGGCTAGATGTTCATAAACAAATAAATATTTCACCTATCATCTATCTCATAGTAAAGAAAAATAAAACAAGGACAGGTAACAGTGAGTGACAAGACATGCTGCTTTAGACAGGGCAGGCAGGGGCCTTTCTGAAGAGGTGGCATGTCAGCAGTGGGATGAATAGAGAAAGGAAGCGAGGTTATGAAGAGAATATTCCAGCAAGCGGAAATAGCAAGTGCGAAGGCGCTGAGGCAGGACTGTTCTTGGCAAGTTGGAGGACCATCAAAGAGGCCAATGGGGCTGGAGCAAGACGGGAGAGGTAAGAGCAGACTAAGGCCAGAGGTGCACGGGGAGCAAGCAGCAGGAGAGCATGCCATGTCGTCTCTCGCTGCCAGCACTCTGGTGTCTGTTACTTCTACTGTGCTTCCTCAAACTTCTGTCTCAGTTTTGAAAGGCCAGTGTCCAGGTGAGTGGCCTTCACTAACTGTGAAGCATAGTTACACATCTCCGTCCCTCAGAGGAAAATATATGAAATGTAGCTGAGTCTGCCCAATTGTACTTCAGATTTCTAAGTCATTTTAATTTTTCATCTTTAAGTCTAGGACAACTTGAAACATTCTGTAGTAGACTTTTCCTTTCTACCATATTGTTTTATTGATTTATTTTTGTTTTTTTGTGTTGGGTCTCACTCTGTCGCCCAGGCTGGAATGCAGTGGCACAATCACAGCTTACTGCAGCCTCGACCTCCTGGGCTCAGGAGGTTCCCCTCAGCCTCCTGAGTAGCTGGGACTACAGGAACATGCCTCACACCTGGCTAATTTTTTTATTTTTTGTAGAGACAAGGTCTCACTATGCTGCCCAGACTGGTCACTGGACAACTCCTGGGCTCAAGCAATCCTCCCATCTTTTTACCATTCCATAGCACACATGTCATCTAAAGGAAATTGAATTCATATCATGTCATTGCTTTCCATTTGTAGTAGCAAAGAACCATTTACTTCAGACCTTGACGATATTCAGAAAATCATATAAAACACTTTATGAAACTTAAAAATAATCTTTTAATGACTTGGTAAATGAGAAAAATTGATTAAATTCACTGTTTTTTAAACATAACCTGACATTGATGATTTTTAATGAGATAAGCACTTAGTTAACTTTTATGGAACTTTTCACAGGTCTTTTTCACAAAGGTTTGATTATACATTTAAAGGACAAATATTTCAGGCCTTCCTCTCTTCTCCTGGAAACACAGTGCACATGCATACTAAATGATCTTCCCTCTAAAGAACCTAAGCAATATGAAGTGGTTACAAATTCACAGCAAGGGTTAGCTCTAAGGATTGCCATTGGGAAGGAGTCTGTAAACCACTGAAACAAGTTATCCAAGTTTTAATCATCATACATTACACTTAGTTTTTCCTGTAATGTCCTAGCTAGTGTGCTCCTTAACATCTAACTGTGTCTGACAGAATGATGTGGTTGCTAGGAGACCATGCTTGTTAAGATATCATTGCAGCCCAAACTGGCAAAATCTATTTCATTGAGCATTTAAACAATGCTGCCAGTCAAGAGTTTAAATTAGTCCAGTTGACCCTTGCTTTTAGGTACCATTCTTGATGTTGTCCCATAAGAAGGTAGGTCAGCATCACCAGCCCATTTTATAAATAAGGACAGAAAGGTAAGAAGAAGCCACAGACTGTTACCTAGGTGGAGGGAGTCTAGTGGGGTGATTATGAGCACTGGCCCTTCAGTTAGAGTCCTTAGGCTTGAATCTTGGCTCCAACACTCCCAACTGTGTGACTTTGGGTAATATTTTTAATTTTTGTGTGTCAGTTTCTCCATCTAAGGTAGAAGTCATCATAGTACCTACATCATAAGGTTGTTGTAAGAATTATGTAGATCAAGCACTAATATAAGCATTTTATATTTACTAACTCATTTTATCCTTTATTCAGTTCTGTGAGGTGGACACTCCCTATTTTACAGATGGGAAAACTGAGGTACAGAGGAGTTCTGTAATGTGCCCAGACTAGTAAATGTCGGAACCAGCATCCAGGCTGTGACACTTTGACTCCAAAGCTGAGTTCTTAACCACAATATTATGTTGATATAATGCCTGAAAGTTCTCAGAACAATAGGACATATAATAAGATCATCATAAATGTTAGCTACCATTAATAGCAGTTATTTAGAAGATACAGTCTGCAATATAATGCCCTGAGACTACCTGAAAAACATTTCTTTACTTCTTGATTAGTCAGTTGAGGAGAATGGGCATCCAAAATGTTTACTGACAAGTTGGGATGGGCGGTGTTTTCCTCAAGAGGACAGTTACCGCTTTCTCACTCCTGTGCCTTCTCCTCAAAGTGTCATGTGCTTCTCTCAGGGCCAACTCGGTCACCTGGAACCCTCACAAGATGATGGGTGTGCTGTTGCAGTGCTCTGCCATTCTCGTCAGAGAAAAGGTCTGTACTCCCTACAAAGATGCACCACCTGCACTTCCTTTAGAAAGCCCAAGAAGAGAGATGCCTGGGGTCTTTTTACAGTACTTGTTGGCTGCCTCAGGAGACTGGCAACCCCCTTGTGAGACGGCCGTGGCTGTCCTCTCCTGCCCTTGCAGCTAACCTAGTTTCTCCTCCTGGCTCTTGCTGTCTATTGCCCTTCGTCCTCATTCCATGCTTGGGGCCTGTCAGTGACTGAACCTTTCAGAGAATTATTTAATTGCATTTTCCTTCATGTTTGCACAAACAGAAGTGAGAGCGATTGGGCGAGGCACCCAATCAATTTCATCCTCAGTGAGGACAAAAAGTCTACTGGAGCATACTCTGAGTTCTTGGCATGAATGCCTGGTCCCAAGAGCTGAAATAAATGAGGCAGAACAAAAACTACACATATCAACTTAGGCAACAAGAAATGTTGACTAAAAAGCTCCTGTAAATGGTTTAGTGCTATATCCCCTTCCTTAAGCCCTGCCCTCCAAGGCACTGTTGCTCCAGTTAAACTTCTGGAGGCCTTCCAGAAAGGCTGTCTCCAGCCTGAAGGAGCCGGAACCTACACAGGATCTTCATTCATACAGAGGGTCCCTTCCACTTCATATGAGATTCTGGAAAGTCTGGGGGAAAAATATTCCTTACAGCATGAAACTGTCCCACCTACTAAGGAAGTGTGTATCCCTAACCCTGCCCACTGAATGCTATAGCCCTTCTCACTTTTTCTTTTTTTCGAGTCAAGATCTCACTCTGTGGCCCAGGCTTGAGTGCAGTGGTACAATCACAACTCACCACCACCTTGACTTCCTGGGCTCAGGCAATCCTTTCGTCTCAGTCTCTCTTTTTTTTTTTTTTTTTTTTTTGCGTTGGAGTTTCACTCCATCACCCAGACTGGAGTGCAGCGGTGCTCCCGACCACCGCAGCCTCGACCCGCTGGGCTCCAGCGATCCTTTCACTCAGCCTTCCGAGTAGCCAGAATTACAGATGTGTGCTACCATGCCCAGCTGATTTTTGATTTATTGTAGAGATGAGGTCTCGCTGCCCAGGCGGGTCTCGAACCCGCGGGCTCAGGCAATTCACTCACTTCAGCCTCCCAAAGGCGCAGGATTACAGGCTGAGCCACCGAGCCCAGCTTCAGTCTCTTGAGTAGCTGGGACTACAGGTGTGCACCACCACAGCCAGCTAATTTTTTGTAGAGATGAGGTCTCGCTTTGTTGCCCAGGCTGGTCTTGAACTCCTGGGCTCAAGTGATCCTCCTTCCTCAGCTTCTCAAAGTGCTGGGATTACAGGCTTGAGCCACTGTGCCTGGCCACTTCCCAATCTTAGTAACAACCCAAAACATCCACATGCATTTTCAGATGTCCCTTAGAGGAACGACGGGGCCCTTGTTATAGGCATCTGAATGGAAGATTATTTTCTAATCAGAGTGTCAGCGAAAAAAGGGCAATGGTTTTTCCAATAGAGATTTTAGGGAAGGACGTTGGAACAAGTGCAAAGACATCAGAAGAAAGATTGCATATGATCCCAGATCCCTTCTTCCAACCAGTCCTGTTTTAAAGTCATCCACACCTCTGATCTGTGAATACAGATGCACTCATCTTAATTTCCATGACAGGGTATACTCCAAGGATGCAACCAGATGTGTGCAGGATACCTCTTCCAGCCAGACAAGCAGTATGATGTCTCCTACGACACTGGGGACAAGGCCATTCAGTGTGGCCGCCACGTGGACATCTTCAAGTTCTGGCTGATGTGGAAAGCAAAGGTACAAAGGGAATAATTCAGAGAGCAGAGCAGAAATGTAATTTGCACAGACTGGCTGGCAAAAGAAAGGAAAGATATATCACAGATAATTCACTATATGTGGAATCAATATCTAGATAATTGAGTTAACTGTGTCTTCTTTGTGAATGGAATAAGTTTGTTCCTTATGTCAAATTCTTTCTCCTCTTGTTCAGTCTCCTCAATTTGAACTATTCTCAAGTTTCCTTATAACTTTCTCTTATAACAACTAAAAATTATGCCAAGATAAGATTTTCACAGCAATCCTTAGGGATGCTGAAATTGTTTAGTGCAGGTATAGAGAAAGTAATAAAAGATAAAAATTACTACATTATTCTGAGTAGAACCTTGAATTCCTTTATGAGGCCCCTTATCATGGATACATACGACAGTTTTAAGTTCTAGTTAAATAAGGACTTTCTCATTATTTGTACTTTATACATTATACTGGAAAATGAGTATTTTATTCTGAGAAAGCCTACTGCCAGTCTAAAGCATGCTGTGTCTCATTCATCAACCTCTTGGGTTGCATTTCTGTACCTAAGGAAAAAGCTAACTATTGGAATTTCCCCCAAAATATGAGTGAGGAAAAGAATTACTGTCTGACCATTTGTTTCAAAAATATTTTTACACAATCAAGTAAAGGCATACTGATTTCACAGTATTCTATACATTGTTTTTATTTACCCACTGTCAGTTAATTTTAAATAATTCCCATGTTTAAGATTGAGTCTACCTAACACTCAAACAACAAGATTTTCCAGCAAAATATCCAGTCAGACGTTTCTTCTGCAGGAAAAATTCTGTAGATTATTAGTTTTTTTCTCGTTAAGTCATTTTGTCCCAATATAGAAATAGTCTGAATTCGATTTCTACCACAAAGTAATCATAGGTATTTTAAGCATATAAATAGCCATAAATTGCCACAAAAGAAGAAGCCCTGTCATTTGAAATATAATAGCCATGTAGGCTGTCTCAATCATTTCTGTCTTCTTTTGCCTAACACTAACTTATTAAATCTGCTAGAGGTTTTGGCCATAATGTATTGGGTGCTGAAACGGGACCCTGGTGCAGCCTTCCTTCCTGAGTGGACAGGCCAGAGTGTTGTACAGTCAGTGGTGACCCTGCTTGGATAGGCTCACACCTTTGGTCAGGCCCGTTAACAATCCACAGCCTGCCTTGTGCATCTGCTCTCCTTGTTAACACCGACCCACATACAGCCCTCTTACTGCTGTTATTCACCAGCCATGCTGGCTTTTGAAACTCTTGCTCAACCAGTTTGTCAATAGTTGGAGCTGTTACAATCTCAGGGCTTGTACTGAGACTAATGGCATCCCCATCTGCCTGCCTGCCTGTCACCAAAAAGGCATAATACTGTTATGTGGCAGGTGGCCTCCCTGGGAGGGCATGGGACACGTGTGGCCAGGACTTACTGCTGGGGAAGATGAGTTCTACAGCAGCAGCTTTCAAAGTTTCTGTGATGAAGAACCATTTATTTGTCATTTTTTAAAATCGATCATGGACCAATACAATAAAGATGAACTAGAAAAATGAAATTTAAAAGCATACATAGTATATTTTCTTTAAATTAGATTAAATACACATAAAATTACACTGTCAAACTGCTATAAAAGTTTTTTATTGCTTAATCTCAATTTCTGCACTCATTTGATTGTGGACTAGTGACCTCAGTTCACAGATGACGTTTTGAATAGCACTAGCCTAAAGCAAAGCAGAAATAGGCTTCAGGTCCTGGCTGTGAACAACACGCAGGAAGTAAAAGCCCAGAGGCTGGAGGACCAACAAAAGAAAAAGCAAGCGCATTTCATTTAATGCATGCAGAGCTGTGAAGAAACTGTACATATTTAATTAGGAGATTCTTCCTAACCATCTCCAAGAATACTTTTTGGTATATTTCCTGGAGACAAGGGCAACATAACCTTTTCAAATGCTCATCACAGGGAAATGCAACCACAAACATGACTTTTCTTTAAAACAGGGCACAGTGGGATTTGAAAATCAGATCAACAAATGCTTGGAACTGGCTGAATACCTCTATGCCAAGATTAAAAACAGAGAAGAATTTGAGATGGTTTTCGATGGCGAGGTAGGTTTATCACCGTGGACCAGATACATGGCATTTCCAGAAAAACTGTAGAAGGAAGCTCTTGAAGTCATATTTTCCCACATTGCCAGAAACTGCTTCTGAATTTTCAGTCTTATGCACCCTTCATTTAATTCCTTCCATGTCCAAACACTTTTCTTCTGGTAGCATTGGGATGACTTTTCCCTTTACTTCTTTAAAAACTTGGCCAGCTTTCTGTAGACAAGAGGTCTTTCCCTGACAGGTCTGACCCTTCGTCATTCTTAGTTTGTCTTGTGTTGAACCCCTACGATAAAGTGTTTCTCAGTCCTCAGAAGCTTATCGGATGGGTATATTCTTGTTTCCCAGATTGGTCCTAAAATAAGGTTTTGCTTTACACAGGTTCATCATGAGCAGAGTAAGATAAAATTGTCTCTGCCTGAGTTCATGTGCACATTGCACACAGTCTAATATTTGTCATACCAGTATCTGCTATAGTGCTCACTGTGTGCAAGCCTCCGTGCCAGGAGCTGAGTTATATAGTGTTGACCCAAACTGATACTTTCTCTGCCCTAATGGAGCTCACAGTTGAATAAAGAAAGATGGAATAGGCACCAGTGTTGAATAAAAGAAAATCCACTCATAAATCAGCATAATATTGCCCACATTCAATGTTAGTCTATTTATCAGGCAGCCTAAACTATTAGGAACACACATGAGAGTCACCAAATGAACAAAAAAGAGCCCCGAGCAGTTAAAAATCAATAATACAGTGCTCTGATCATTTACACACAATATATTTTAAACATTCTAATAGCAGATTTGAAACAAGCCAGTTAAAGGCAGACACAGTGATAGCAAGCAGCAACTAGAGAGAAAACTGAAAAAACTATAGCACAACTACAGAACTCAAAAAAGCAAAAGAATCTTTAGGGGAGAGAGACTAAACAGCTTTAGGCATCTCAATAATCCCTGTCTTATGGTTTAGCACCAGTATTAACGTTCATTATGATAATTCTGAGTCATCAAGAAAAGATCCGGTATCAACATAACAAACTCAATAAAATACTCAGTATCAATAAAATAAACTATGTTTCAAGCATCTTCTATATGTGAGGTACTACAAAATGGCAAGACAGATAATACCATTCTTAAATTACCCAAATGTAATTATTTTTAACATGCCAACATTTAAAGTAACTTTGGTAACCTAAAAAATTGGTTGTGGGGAAAATCTCTCTTGCTAGATATGATTGGATACGTGAGACATTTTTCTCTTTAATGTAGAAATAACATTGCCTTTGAGATGAACATCTTGCCTCAGTCTTTGGTCTGAGAGACTTCCACCAAGGATGCATATGGGTTTGGGAGCAGCTTTTTCTCAAGTTCTCATAATTTTGTTTGTTATTGTTGTTTGTCTGCTTGTTCTTTAAAATCTCTGCAGCCTGAGCACACAAATGTCTGTTTCTGGTACATTCCACAAAGCCTCAGGGGTGTTCCAGATAGCCCTGAGCGACGGGAAAAACTACACAAGGTACGGACTCGATTTTTGTTTTATCTGATCCTCTGTGATTTCTCTTAGCTGGTTAGGGCATACTTCTTCTAATGTGGGCAAGAAATTAAAAATAAAGATTTAGGGTGGGCTTCTAGTAATGGGGTGTTGGGGAGTCACTTTGTTATATTCTTCTTGTCTCTGCATTGTCCCCGTATGTGGTTACCCCAGGAACCTCTAAAGGACGCATCCCTGTCCTTGGTTAGTGTTCTTTATTAAAGGGGCTTTATGTAGGGTAATGGAATAGTATACATATTCCTTGGAACATTCTATACTAAACTATGTCTGTTATAATAATAATCTTTTACCAAATTCAAGTCTATAATGCTGATTTATTCTAGTCATTGATTTCCATATCTAGTTTATATACTATGCAGAGTTGTTGATGTTATATTTAATTTACATAACACTTTATTCATGGAATCATTCAACAAGTATCTATGTGCCAGACTGTATCCTGGGCTCTGAGTTATATAGATACCTCAATTTGTGTTGTTGCCTGTGAGAGGTTTTTTGGGTTTTGTCCTCACTTCTTATTTTATCATTGTTCTATGACTGACGTTCACAATTCCGTCACATGGTACTTTCTGAGGGAACCTGTGATGAGGAAGACTTAAACAGTCTTTAGCTGTTAGCCATCTGGATATAAAATATTTATTTGCTTTTGTGTCAATGTAAGAACAAATAGTAAAAACAAATTGGGTTGAATTGTTAAAAAAAAAAAAAAGAGGGGACTATATCAGTCTTGAGTTTTGTTTTGTGTGTTTCCATCACAAGGTGGCTCCAAAAATCAAAGCCCTGATGATGGAGTCAGGCACGACCATGGTTGGCTACCAGCCTCAGGGGGACAAGGCCAACTTCTTCCGGATGGTCGTCTCAAACCCAGCTGCTGCCCGGTCTGATATCGACTTCCTCATTGAGGAGATAGAAAGACTGGGCCAAGATCTGTAATCACCCTTCTCCGAATCTAAGTTTGTGAGAATGCCCTTTCCCCCTCTGACACTCTAGAACAAACCTCTCTACAAGTTGCTGAAACACACCGACCATTTCACTGAGGGAAAATATAATATCCTGAAGACTACTGTTAAAACCCTATTTAAGCTTGTTTCTTATAGTTAGCAGGAAATAATGTTCTTTTTAAAATGTTGCACATTAGGAAAACAGTATATATGTACAGTTATATATACCTCTCTCTCTCTATATGTATCGTGAGTGTGGCTTAGTAATAGAGCACAGCATGTTTCCTGCTCCAAGAGAATACACTTCACCTTCAGCAGTTACTGAGGGGCTAAACATGCTGTACACCAGCTTGCCCAACCACCACAGGAAAGCTGTTTTTCCAAATGCTGTGTCCTAGGGACCCAGGGAAATGTTGTCGGTGGAAATTGACCTCACTGTCAGTGTTTCTCCCACCTGAAGTAATGATGGATGAGAAAAAGCACCACCACATGACAAGAGTCACACCCTCCCCATTAGTATCCTGTTAGGGGAAAACAGTAGCATTGTTACAGGTGTACTATCGCTGTATTCTTAGAGATTAATTTGTGTAGATTGTGTACATTACTGTTGTCTAACCTTGGTGGGTGTGGGGAGGCAGAACACGTGTAATGATGTCAATGACTGTTTAATTGTAGGTCAATGAAATATTTGCTTATTTATATTCAGAGATTTACCATGTTAAAGAGGCGTCTTGTATTTTCTCCCCATTTGTAATGTATCTTATTTATATATTAATGAAGTAAGTTCTGAATATGGTTTATGGTATTTTTGTGCATTTGTGAGCCAAAGAGAAAAGATTAAAATTAGTGAGAACTGTATTTATATATGAGTGCCCTTAAAATAATGATTTAAGAATTTTATTGTCTGTAAAAGAATTCTGATACTGTACATAGAGTCATATATATATATGGAAACCCTGTGACTTATATAGCGCCTGCTCTTCTATTCCCCTCTCTGTCTGGCTGTACGTCTGGTGTTCTCAATGCTTTTCTAGTAACTGTTGATTGATAACTAGACCTCCTGTAATTTTGTAGTAGTTCATGACCAATCCCTGTGACTCGCTTAGCTGAAACCTAAGGCAATGTTTCTGAAGACCTTCCGAAGAGCTCAGATAAATTGACCAGGCTCACAACTGTTTTTGAAGAAAGGAAATTCACACTGTGCGTTTTAGAGTATACAAGAAGAATACAAATAAATAAAAAATATTCTCCATGGAGAATTTGAACAAATTTTCTTCCAGTTTATGTTTCACACCGATATTTCCAATTATAGCTACTCAGATCACCCACACCCCATCCACTAGCTGGTTTTAAGGTCATGCTCAGTACCCTGATTAGCTGAGAGACTCAACCCACTGTCATAGGCTCCTGAGCCCCTCATCTATAAAGTCATTATGACTGTAATTAAATAAAATTTGCAGTTCAATCCTTGAGAAAGAAAAGCCATCTGTTTCTCATTTTCTACATCTTGGAGTTTCATTCATTCAGTCATTCAACAAATAGTTTCTTCCTCTATATCAGGCACTGAGTATACATGGCAGACAAATATTCCTTCAGGTGGGGATCTTATATCACTTGATGTCAGTGGTAACTGAATGCCTCTAAAAGCATGGAATCACACCTTCCTTATGCCTGTACAGTGGTCCCAGTTCACTTCCTTGGGAAATATATGTTGGTGCTAGATCATTAGGAAATAGGGCCCATTTTCTGTCATATTCTTTTTTTTTTTTTTTTTTTTTCTTTTTTGAGTTGGAGTCTCACTCTGTCGCCCAGACTGGAGTGCAGTGGCCGCTCCGGGCCACCGCAGCCTCGACCTGCTGGGCTCCGGCGATCCTTCCGCCTCAGCCTTCCGAGTAGCTGGAACTACAGGTGTGCACTACCACGCCCGGCTAATTTTTTGATTTTATTGTAGAGATGAGGTCTCGCCTGCCCAGGCGGGTCTCAAACCCGCAGGTTCAGGCAATTCACTCACCTCAGCCTCCCAAAGGTGCGGGATTACAGGCTGAGCCACCGAGCCCGGCTTCTGTCATATTCTATTAACCTATAGTAATACTATCTCATGCAATACCTATTTAGTATGTGTAGGGATTAAAGAAGAATCATTTGTAATTAGCATACTGATTGCATGCATAACCATTGTATTAAACAACTGGACTTCACAGGGAATGATCATAAAGTCATTTTATTCTTTTTCCCACTATTCATTCAAATCCTCTCTGTGGGCTGATTTTTCCATGCCCCTATTTGAATTTGGGCCAATCCCATAGCTTTTCTGGCCTGTCAGAAACAAGAACAGTCTCGTTTTTGCAGCTAAAGGTCCAGCTCAATGTAATAAGCAAAGCTTCAAATTTGTATACAATATAGAATTTCTCCCCTCCCCAAATCTGGCATTGTTTCCACTGCAAGCCTCCAGTGGCCAGGGGAGCAAGGTGGTGGGTGGGTGTGGTCATCTTTTCTTTTCGTTTATCTTTCTACTCCTGTGTTTCCTCATTTAGTGTCAGGTGTAAGGGAAGAAAGAGTTAAAGTGACAAAGTGTATGGCCAGGTGTGGTGTCTCAAGCCTGTAATCCCAGCACTTTGGGAGGCCAAGGTGAGAGAATTGCCTGTGCTCAAGGGCTCAAGACCATTCTGGGCAACTTGGCGAGACCTTGTCTCTACAATTAAAAAAAAAAAATTAGCCCAGCATGGCAGCACATGCCTGTAGTTCCAGCTACTTAGAAGGCTGAGGCAGAAGGATTGCCTGAGCCCAGCAGGTCAGGGCTGCAGTAGCTGTGAGCGTGTCAACTCAAAAAAAAGTGATAAAGTTACAATTTTATGCAGTTGTTAAATTGTTATCTGGCATTGAGACCTCTGGAACATGAGTTATGAGGTTTTGGGGGGAGGTGTTGGGGGGTTTTTTTGAGTCAGAGTTTCACTCTGTCACCCAGGCTGGAGTGCAGTGGCACACTCACAGCCACTGCAGCCTCGACCTGCTGGGCTTATGAGATTCTTCCGCCTCAGTCTTCCAAGTAGCTGGAACTACAGGTACATGCCACCATGCCTGGCTAATTTTTTGTTTTATTGTAGAGACAAGGTTTTACCATGCTGCCCAGGCTGGTCTCAAACTCATGCGCTCAGGCAATCCTCTTGTCTCTGCCTCTCAAAGTGCTGGTATTAAAGGCATGAGCCACTGTGCCCAGCTGAGATTGTTTTATAATGGGGCAATTTTTCTGGAAGATTTTAAAAATTAAGGTAAAATTTAGACACGATAAAATTTCCTCTGTATAGTACACTGTATATGGTTTTCTGTGAATTTTGACAAACCCAATGTCCCTTTGTACTCAACACCTCCCCTAAGCCCAGCCCCTGGCAACTTCTGCTTTGTTTTCTGTCCCTAAAGTTTTGCATTTCCCATCATATAAATGGAATCATATAATATGTAGTCTTTTGAGTCTGGCTTCTTTCACTTAACATAAAGTGTTTGAAGTTGACCTATATTGTCTGTATCAGTGTTTAATTCCTTTTTTTTTTTTTTTTGCCAGCGTTTCACTCCATTGTCCCAGGCTGAAGGGCAGTGGCACTGTCACAGCTCACCACAGCCTCAACCTCCTGGGCTCAAGTGAACCTCCTACCTCAGTCTCCTGAGAGGCTGAGACTATAGACATGTGCCACTGTGCCAGACTAATTTTTTGGTTTTCTGTAGAGACAAGGTCTCATTATGTTGTCCAGGTTGGTCTCAAAGCCTTGGGCTCAAGTGATCCTCTCACCTTGGCCTCCCAAAGTGCTAGGATTACAGGCATGAGCCACTGCACCTGGCCTATTTATTCCTTTTCATTACAGCATAATATTTCATTTGTACAGATGTACCCCAGTTTGTTTATCCATCCCCCAGTAGAGGGAAATTTAGGTTGTTTCCAGTTTCTGGCAATTAAAATAAAGCTACAGGAAAAATTGTTGGGGAGATTTTGGTGTGAACATAGATTTCGTTTAACTTAAGTACCTAGGTGGAGATTGCTATATCATAACATGTCTAACTTTATAAGAAACTGCCATACTGAGTTCTGAGTAGTACCATTTTGCATTCTCACCAGCAATGCACAAATTTTCTAGTTGCTCTGTATTCTTGCTGACACTTGGTATTGTCCTTTTTTTTTTTTTAATTTTAGCCATTATGAAAGTTGTAACCAATGGGATTTTTTTTTTTTTTTTCCTAGAAACAGGGTCTCACTCTGTCACCTAGGCTAGAGTGCAATGGAGCAATCATAGCTCACTGTAGCCTGGAACTCCTATCCTCAAAGGATCCTCCTGCCTTCGCCTCCCAAAGATCTGGGATTACAGCCTTGAAACACCATGCCTGTGCAGCATCTTGTAGTTTTAATTTGTTCTTTCATGCATCACTTTTGAAGGGTCCCACTGGGGTTCTCCACCTCATCACACAAAAGGCAGTGACAGTTTCTCCTCCTGCAACTACTTAGGATGCGGTCCTGAGCCCCTGACAATCCACACTGTCCAGATCTTTTGTGTTCGGATCGCTTCTCCTCCAAACAGTCCTTTTGGATGGGACCCCTTTTACTTAAAATCAGTTATTTTACATAAGGCGACTTTTTAAACATATGTATGTAAGACAAAGAGTGGCAACATTATGCCTGAGGACCCACTCTTCAGCCTAAGATATAGAACATTATCAGTATCTTAGCGCTCTCTAACCCCTCATGAGCCCTTCCCTAATTGGATGCTACCCCCTCTCTAAGAATTTATCACTATTCTGAATTTTGTGTTAATTACGCTTTCTTTTTTTTTGTTACTTTACCATATATAGAGATATAGACATAGCTATATATTTGGATTCTTATTGCTGGGTTGTATCCGGCTTTGCACTTTACATAAATTGAATAATACAGACATTATATACTTGTCACCTTTCTTTTTTTTCTTTTTTTTTTTTGAGTTGGAGTCTCACCCTGTCGCCCAGGCTGGAGTGCAATGGCACGCTCACAGTCACTGCAGCCTTGACCTGCTGGTCTCAGGCAATCCTTCTGCCTCAGCCTTCCAAGTAGCTGGAACTACAGGC